CGAAGTTCATCTCAAGGTCGCAATATCATACCCTGTCATATTCGTGGTGTGCCCAAGGTTCTTGGGCGTCGTTGTTGCCGTCGCCCAAGAGAGGGTGGGGCGTGACACTGTCTCTTGCACGGTTAGGTACTAGTAAGTAGGTTATTTTTCGGATAGAATAGAGGGGTTGATGTGTGGGTAATATGCAATCCTGGCTGGAGAGGGAGAGGGCTATGGTGGATGTCTGATATTGTGCAGTACTGCGCAGCCGGTGAATTAGGCTGAAAGCGCTACAAGGGTAGCGAAGCAGAGTAATCATTGGAGGGGGAGAGGTTTGGAAGAGTAGTTGAGGAGTTTTTCAACTTGTGACTTTACACAGGCATCCAGAACAGATCCTCCAAATCCCTTCCCGGAACGGCTGTTGTTGGGAATTTTGATGTAGTGAGCGTTGCTCCTAGAGATTAAAAAGTGAATTATTATTGACATTACTGATATCTGTTACTCTGTGCCGGTACGAAATTCCCAAGAAGGCAGCGTTACCAGCACCCCCAAGGGATTAGTGAGATGCAAGGAAAGGAAAGAACAGTTACCCGCATGGGTATGCAGAAAATGTATCCCACCGGCATTTCACAGGTTCTAGGGTCCTTCATCAACCTGGGTATAGTAACAACAATACTCGTATAGAGATCATCAGGCACCAATTAACAATATACCCGCATGACCCACCAGATTCTGTACCCGTGAAGCAGGACATTTTCCTAAATTGCTAACCATAAGCAGCCCTACCAGCTAGGAATTTATCGGCATCGTAATCCTTTTCAATGGCATTCTGTTAGTGCAGAGGTATAGCCACCAGGGATGGAGGAAATACTCTCGGGATGTCAGGCTGGGGGAAGCCGCCCGTTAGGGCACCTAGAGGATGTGGGGGTCGGTTCGATGACCCATACTTGCTAGCTGATGAATCGAATGGACAGAGGGGTACTTTGGCGGTCATGACTTCCACCCCAGTGTTGAACTGTACGCCTAGCAGATTAAAGCAAGCCGGTGCCCAAGGCTTATTCCTGCGGGGAGGGAAGTTATCCTATCTTATCATATGTGTCATAGTATAGTGTCTAGCAAAGAGCCCTCGGAATTTGAGGTGAACGTAGAGGGATATTTGACTTTTTCGGAAAAAAAAAAGGGAGAGGGTTCTCCTGGGGGAGGGAGCGGCGAGGGCCTTAGCATATCATCCAAAGTTACCAAATTTCTCGAGCATATCATATCTAACGTTATCCTACGGTACCGCAAAAACTGGCCAAACTCGCCATGGAGGTATTGGCGCTAGGGATTGGATGGGAGCTTTTTTACCCTGAGAAATGACGGAAAATGACAATAACACCTGAGAATAGCTGTATACCGGTGCCGGTACCTACATAAAATACTGTAATAATGATGCTGGTCTCATCAACAAAGAGAAATTAGGTTGGTCACTGGAATGATCTTGGCTGTATCGCCACGCACTAGTGCCTAAATTCCCCTACCTGCATAGCGAGTTTGGCGAGTTTTTGCGGTAGTCTAACAGTTTAATGCATACGGGTCAAGGAAAGACAAGTCACAACTCGGGTGAGGGGGAGGGGAGAAAAGTATGCGCGGGGCCAGGGTTGAAATGCGGCATTGGTTCCCTTGAATTTTACGCATTGCGGCAACAAGGTCCATCATGCAGCCTGACATTCTCCCAACTGAGCTATTGGCGCATGTGTATTACTAGTGAGGGTCTTTCAACCCATGTCTTTGCCATTGTAGGCTTGGCATGGACTACCGTAATGTACTCGAGTAGGGGTACGAGTAGGTAGTCTAGCGTTTATCATTGACTGATGTTGGACTTTGCGTGCTGGGTTCCGGCATCGGGGATTATCGCAGCTGTCATGATACATCGGCAGGCGGGGGGATAAAACTCGCCTCGGGAGAATCGCCTGGTTGCGCACTATCGTGGTTTCTGCTCCATCGTGGGCGTTATGCTGCCCGAGGGACTCTAAGGGCTCGGCTGAGGATGTACGATCTTAGTGACAGAATTCGTAGCCTCCCCCACGCCATTTTACACCGAAAATTGCTGGTTTAAAACACTCCTAACTCACCCGAATGTAACATAGAATTAATAAAATTGGTACCCTGGTGAATTTTCATGTTTTTTTGCAAAGCAACAAGGCTGAGATTTACAAACTGAAAATGCCCCATTTTTGGTGCAAAAAGGGGGGGCACGAATTTTGTCACCAAGATCGTACGAGTGCGGCCGATAAATATATTCGTCACGTGCCTTATCTAAGGACACGTCGCAGCCAAAAGGTGCACCGAAATTTTCTTATCAGACTCACGTGACGAATATATCTATCGGCCGCACTCGTAGTATGGTTGTAGAAACCTTTTGTTTATCGTGCCGACCAAAAGCTCAGTTAGCCTTGTACAGGGATAATGTGCGAGTAGCAATCATGGTAAACATACTCGTATCGGAACAGCTAGCCCCCCAAACCAAATCTCAGCCCTTCCTATGTTGGGTCAATGACCTCGGTTCTTGTCGTCCTAATTCCTCGCATAGGGTTGGGTAGCTATGGCCCCCACCCTTACTCCGCCTAGTCCTATCTAAGTGTGAATAAAATGCTTCAACGGAACCTGGAGGGAGTAGACACCAATGTTTCTCTTGGTATACGGTAGGTGTCGAGAGAGGATAGGCAGGCTGGAGATGAATCCGCCAACGCCTCGTCTCATCCCCGAGGACTACCGGCATGGCGTACTCGAGTACCGATAATCCGGCGAGACCCCTTTTCTCGCTAAGAGGTCAAAATAAAGTGTGGCCCCGGATTTTTCACGGAGCGGAACTTCTCGGCATAGTTACCGGAACGGTGCCGGTATGATACCGCATTTCCTTTACTCGTAAAGGGATGGCAAAAAGCCTCGCGAATGACGCACGGTGGCAAATGTTTGTGGAGATCCTACCGAACGGCACGGTACCCTGAAGGCTGCTCTTCACCCAAACTACGAGTACCGGTATTATAGCTCAAGTGTTGAGCCGCACTTTCCTTTGGCCCTCCAGTGCGGGAACCAGTTCCACCAGACTACTCGTAGGGTAGGATCTCACCGCTTGGTGCTCGTGGAAGGTTGCTGTTTCCGATTGTGAGTACGGCATCATACGGATTCATACTTTACGAGTTCCCTACATGCGATGGCACGGACACGGCAGCGATGGTGACGGTGGGTTAGGGTTGTTGCTTAATTTAGGTTCACAGGGAGGTGCAGCTTTTGCCTGCGTGTTACGAGTGCTCGTGCAGTACCGTATAGAGATCTTCTTCGCTTTATAATGCGATGCGCGACTTGGAAGCTCGCGTGATGTCGGGATTGGAGAGCAGCACGGTCCAGGAGAAACGGTGGCGTTTCTGGGTATTTTACGGAGGCAGGAGGTCCACTGCGCAAGTCATCGTGGCTGCAGAGTATAATAACTGATTCTGCGAGTGGTGAAATGTGGAGAGTTTTGTTTTATTTTTACCCTTGGGATCCGTGATTCCGCGTGGGGGAGAGCACGGTGTGACGAGAGCCTTTCATTTGTGCCTAGGTATCGTCGGTGGCTGCAGACGCGGTCATGCCTGAAGTGACACGAACCCGTAACGATGGTGGTGAGGGTGCGAGAGGGTGCGAAAGGTAAAACCTTCCTGGCACGATACCTGTATGGCGGTGCGGTAGGGGGTACAGTAAGTGTTGCGATTCCCGGTAGCTCAAACCTCCCATCTAAATGGAGTTAGTGCTGTCAGTGGCTTATGGTCCGGTACTAGTAGAGTGCTAGACCGTGTACTGGACTACACGGCCGGCCCAATCATGGAGATGCTCTCGTTCATGACTATTCATGCGAAGACGGCGAATAAATGCGCCCCTCCCCCGTTGCATTGCCGGTACTCTACCCTAACGCGCCCGCAACGGGTAAATAAATCACTAACCACTCCAATTGCTCGAACCATCGCCCGCTGAGGAGTAACCACCCGGGGTTAGGAAACGCGGAGGTCTTGCAGGGATGCGCTCTGTAGCGGTCCGATAGTGGTCGCGCCATCAATTGCTTCGTCGTTTCTGGAAGTTATAGGGGTGCAAGTGCCGGTAACGTTTGATCATGTAGCGAATTTCTGCAAGGTGCGGAATGGGGACTGTTTTGCATCCATCTATAGGATATTTATATCATGGTCCCATGGTCCGGCTTGTTTCTGCAACAGTTGCTCCCCCCATGCGGGATTGTTTGGGAGGGGGATCGACTTGTTGTTCGGGAGAGTATCAGACGCTCTGATTGCTGAGAACGGTCAATTGAAGAGTTACTGTGGACTACGTGCGCGGCAGTAGAGCACTATGCGGGGAGTGACATGACAGTTAGGGTGGAAGCACTGTGGGCTGTAGCCCGCGCCGCTGTGCTGGTATGAGAGCACTTGCTCCCAATCCCCATATGGATTATGGTTAATCTCGGGAGGCTTTTTTTAGCATCCTGACGATGTTCCGTTCAACCCCTATCGTTGCCTCGAGTGATTGATAGTGATTCTGGTTACCCGGTTCCACGGGTGTTTCAGACGGCCAGAGTGTTTGAACCATTGCTGGAGATCACCGGCCACCCGAATACCGGTACCGCACCCAATGGCGAGGAAGAATGGGCTATTTTTGGAATCCTCACTGCGATGAGTGGCATACGGGCACCTAACCGCGTCACTCTGCCGATCCCGTATATAAATCCTCTCGAACCCACCCTTGAATGAAAAGCTGCAAGAAATCCACCCTCATTTGCCACAGAGATTCATCCCTTCTAAACCATCACGGGATTCCTTCTCCTGCTGCCCAAAGCGATCCCCCAATCATGCCGAGCTTTGTTTCTCTGGTACCAACGCCAAGACTTCCTTCTTGGCGAGTCTAACCGAAGCTTGTGAGATGTGACGGGATAGGCTTACTGCTAATCTAGCGCTTACTCCAGCACCCGGTCCAACCTCGTTGGGCGACCGCAGAATTTGAGAAGGGGGAGGGCTGAACATGAAACTATTCTTCTGATGCAGGGGCCTCCAATGGACCTCTGGCCGACGATCCGATCTGGAGAAATTGTGCCCGAGTGGAAAGCTGGGAGGGGAACAATCTCTGTTTGAACCCGCGAGTTTATCCTGCCCATTTCGCACGCTACTTGCCTTCCGCTGGAATGACCCCGCGAGGGGTTGGCCAAGATTGGGGGGAGTAAGTATCATCTTTGTACCACGCCGCAGCTTGTCCAGAAATAGAAGCATGGACGTTTGAAAGCCAAAGACTTGCGTCTTCGAGATCTTCCAAGCTTCTTCTTTTTTTCTTCTTTCACCTTTTGCCTCCTGCTCCCTTTTGCTATCGTATCATACCGTATTCACCTCGCTGCCTGTGCCAGAAATGGTACTTTTAGGGTGTACCATACTAATGCGTTAAAGGGGTTCCTAGATTTCGCTTTGTTTATTCTCACCGGCGGAATTATTGTCGCCCTTTATTTTTGGACGCCTCCCCCCTCCCTTCGATCGATCCAACCTCTGTTCATACCAACAGCTCCGTCGCGCATACAGTATCCACCGAGCAGAGAAAAATGACCACGGACCTGCGTTTGAGTGTTCACAGACTGAGTGTTGGCTTCCGCGACAAAACCGCGGAGCCTTTGCCCCCCGGTCTGGAGAAGGAGAGAATCATCGTGGGCATTGACTTTGGGTTGGTCATCCTCCATGTTTACCCCTGCAAGTTCTCCCCACTGACGCCATCCAGGACAACACACAGCGCGGTAGCATGGGCGCAGACATCGTCGCCGGAGGAGTATGAAGTCATCACGCACTGGCCCGGTCAGTCGGGAAAGGATTGGGGGAAGGTTCCTTCGGATATCTCCTACACCACCAGTCGACCGGCTTCGAATCCCGCACAGGGGACAGATTCATCGCTGTCGCCAACTCCGAGTGTAAACTCCGAGAGTAATATCCCGCGACCCGAGAGCACGAGTAGTGAGGGTGCAGCTTTGGGGTTTAAATGGTAGGATCTCCGCCGGACATGGGTAATTTCTCAATGGCTCACGAAGAATCTATAGGGGCTTTGAGGTGCCTCCCACAGACCCGCAGAAACTATCATGGATAAAGATTTTACTGGACCCATCTCAACCCCGCCCCAAATTTGTCAACCCCAAGAAAGCAACCCTCCCGAGGGGGAAAAAGACAGTGGATATTGTTACTGACTACCTCAGCGCTTTAAAATCCTACACTTTACAGACCCTTGAACGACGGCTCGGGAAGGAGATAGTTCAAAAGTCCAAGGTAGAATATGTGCTTACTGTACCTGCAGTATGGAGTGATAAGGCTCGACAGATGACGATGGAAGCGGCTATTAGGGCGGGACTGGGTGTTGGTGCGGAGGAGGGCGGGACCGGGTTGCTGAAGTTAATTACTGAGCCGGAAGGAGCAGCGGAATATGCGCTCCGGAGTATTCAGCCCAATTCTATGAAGGTTTGTTTCCCCTCCTTTTTTTTTTGACTTGTTGGTTTTTGTGTAAATACTTGCTGGTGGGGTTGGGGTTGGTAGGGTGTGGTTGATCCATGCCCCTGGTATGAGCTTCCCGGAGGAAATTGCACCAGTGAAGGAAACGCACTTACCTCAGAATAATTAGGTTGGCGATTGCTTTGTGGTATGCGACGCGGGTGGTGGGACAGTCGATCTCATATCTTATCGTATATCTTCCTTGATACCATTGCAGCTGAACGAAGTGGCAATCGGAACTGGCGCATTGTGCGGTGCTGTCTATTTGGATCGGCGGTTCGAAGATTTCATTTCCAAACGGATTGGGAAGGATAAATTCGATGGGATGGACCACAGGGCTCGGTTCCAGATGAACCAATTTTGGGAAACCTACGTCAAGAGAGAATTTGTGGATGATGAGAGGGTCCGAAAGGATGAGGATGACGAGGGGGAGGAGGAGGAGGAGAATGAGAATAGGCTATTTTGGGTACCCGTGATGGGTGTCCCGGATGACGAGGATAAGGGGATTAGGGGAGGGTTCTTGAAGCTTTCGAGGTTAGTCTGGTCCCGAGTGATGAGTTATCTGGGCACTAACGGGGGTTGGGAGGGTAGGAGGGAAGTGAAAGAAATATTCGAGCCCATAGTTGCACAGGTTCTGGAGTTAATATCTAAGCAAGTCATCGAGGTTCTCAAGTCCGGGAAAGGACCGATATCAGTAATAATCTCTTGTTGGCGGTGATACGCTCTTGTGCTAAACCTCAGTTAGGCCATTCTTCTTGTGGGTGGATTTGGTTCTTCGGAATATCTCTATCAGCGAATCAATAGATGGGCGGCCGATAAGATTGATGTTATGCAACCACGGAATGCTTGGACGTAATGCTTGTCTTATTCCGGATTACTTTGCATGCGCTGATAGGGATGTAGTGCGGTTGTACGAGGTGCAATAATTCGTGGACTCCAAGGCGATATCGCAGCCGTTCAGTCACGGCTCAGTCGGCGTCACTACGGCGTCGTCCACGACTCCAAGTACGATGAAACGAAACACGATGAATCCGAGAAGGTCTGGCATCTACTGCGATGTGAATGGGTGGTGAAGAACAGGATTCAGTGGTACATTCGACGGGTAATACCCCTTGGGTGTATTGGCGGTATCGAATCTATTGACACCCACAGGGCGACGTCACGACAGAGCACAGGAAAATATCATTCCCCTTTTATCGAACAGTTGCCGAAAGCGATTTAGTCGGCGACACACACCAGCTCAAGACCGAACTGTGGGTATGCGATGAAGAAGTAGCTCCGGATAAGCGAATCAAGGGCGATCATTGTATTTCCCCACTTTCCCCTTACTCTACTTGAATGATGCTGAAAAAAAAAATGCGGAAGCTGTCCGAAAGTTATGTGTCATGACTTCAGAGCCAGTTCCCGTTAACCGCTTCACAAAGCACACCAACGAGAGGGCCGAGACTTTTTATCGGGTCGACTACTCGCTCAACATGACAGTCACATCCGGCGTAGTGGTGTACGAGATGAGCTTGGAAGGGGAGAAGGTTAGTGTTGGGAGGGTCACAACGAAGTATGAGTGATTGCTAGCACCTGACGGGTATGAGAGGCTGTTTGAATATTTGTCCCTGTTGGTATCAACATTTTTTTCGCTAACCTTTTTTTTTTGTATCTGTGCCAACCTGTGGCGCTGAGAGTATCAACTTGGAGCGGGGTGGAACGAGGGGTGAAGCACTTCTCCTTTCCGCATCCGAGGGGGTTGTACTTTGCACCAGTTTAATTATCAAATTAGTTGCTATGATAGGAATGCAGACGCGTTGAAACCTGAAGTAAATCACAAACCATCACCCGGGTTCCCCCCCTGCCATCCCCACCGCGAGACCGTGAACTATGCTATACTCCCCCACTTTGCCCGAGAGGGGCATTACTCTCACCAGACCACGACGTCCACGCCCGGTAACCCGGCTGGTAGATTTGTGTCCATGGCTCTACACTTCCAGTCAATACTCAGAGCAAAGTTTATGGCCAAAGAGGTGCACTTTCAGCCGCCCTCCTCCCGGATTCACCGTGGGAGATTGATCCCGTTGGTTTTGTACAGGTTGTCTGGTCTGGTCTTCTGGCGGTTGCAGCAATGTTTTACTTACCCGAGGTGAAATCTGGTGTTCGCTTCCGCAGGGGATATAGGGTACCAGGGGTGGAACTTGTATTGTTATGATGCCGGACTTAGACATGGGTTGATGGTTGGATATTTATTTGTTGGGCACTGTGCTTTGCGGTACTTGTCTGACTTCTGTGGGTAACGTTTGAGGGGATATGATTGTGTTGATGTCTGGAGAGTAAGTTAGGTATGAACTGTGGAGGAACAATGTGATGCTGTGGTTGATTCTGCGGGTTGCGGGGTATGCTTGGTCATCCTTGAGCAAAAGTGATCTACGGAGAAGGTTTCTGGGCAAATATTTTTTTGCTTATCACGGGGGTGGGGGAGAGACATGCGTCGAGGCATAAAGATACGTGTGGCGATCCGCAGGGAGATCTGGATGATTTTACTGCCTTTTATATCGGCTTCCGTCTTTACCATTACCGGTAGGCTAGGAAGCGCTGAGAAGGGTACCGGGGTTTATGACGATACCCTTCCTACTTTCTCCGTGGCTTAAGGGTCTAAAGCAAATTGTCTAAGCATATCCCTGGCCTATTTATTACTTGTACTGTACTTTCCACAAGAAAAGCTGGCGCTGAGGTTCTGTTATGAAATACAAGCATACACCTAGAATCATAGGGCTTGACGAGGATTTCGAGAGATGGCCTAGTATCCAAAGGTTATCTTTTCCTTTTTCCTTCCGCTTGTTTCTGAGGTGGGCCTTGAATTTCTAGGATATTTATCATCTCTAAGTTACCCCTTATCTCAATTTGCAGTGTTGAGTTTAAGTTTCTAGGTTCACGTTGGGTTTTCCCTGCATTGTTGGTGCACTTCCTACTTTGGACTTTCTGGAGGAATATGCTCGTGCGAGCACGGTATTTGTCGTCTCGTATCGTAAGAATTGGCGGCGAACCTGCAGGCGCCGTATTCAACACTTTCTTGCTGTGTTGCAGGTGCAGGGATGTGATGTGGGGGTATATTCCCTTGGCGTGGAAATGGTTGGCTGGGTCTACCTTGTGGAGCCTCACAGTTGCGGTGCCTGAGAGATCTCCGCTTTGCTCCGCTTGACCGTGTGAAATTTCAATCAATCTCTCCGAGAAATTGCCATTATACAACTATAGCCTCACCTATCACCACGATTTGTCCATTGTGGATGATATACGTACCGTACACGGCATCGATATAGGAACCACGGTATTTATCCGGACGAATACGGCATGTCGAGTACCCATAGTGGTAACCGCATGACCAATAACGTTAGCGGCAGCTCGAATACGAACTTCGGTAATGTGTTGAACAGTTACAATAACATCTTCAATATCGGAATAAGCGAAGAGAGTACGCGGGTTCAAGAGTGGCTGTCTCCACTGGAGCCGCATAGGAGGCATCAGGATCTGAGAACTCGCCGGCTTGATGGCATTGGAGGGTGGGTTCTGGGAAGGACTGAGTTCGAGTGTTGGCGGAAGGGTCAGGGCGGCCTCGCGAAACGTATTCTGTTATGTTGTGGAGGTCAAGGGGTGGGCAAGACCTACATTAGGTATGGTATAATCCGAATTTTGGTTCCCGGGAAATTGTCGAAAAGGCTGACAAGAAAAAATACCAGTTCTTTAGTGATAGATACCTTGTGTGATCTGGTTCAAGGACGGAATGCCGCCGCTTTTTGCCTCTACTGCGATTACCAGGCTCACAAGGAACAATCGCCTGTAAACATGATAGGTGGTCTGCTCAGGCAAATCGTGGCCCGGGCAGCGGAGGTCCCGGATGGGATAAGAAGAGTGTTTGAGGGGTCTAAAGAAAACTTGGGTGGCCGAGGCCTCAGGTTGTCGGAAATGCTGAAGTTATTCGGGGAAGCGCTCGCGCCTTTTGAGCGAGTATTTATCTGCATCGATGCGATCGACGAGCTATCGGCAAAGGATAGACCGGAGTTCCTTCGTACGCTGCGTCAGATTATCCAAGATGCCCCGAATACACGACTCTTCCTCACGGGCCGGACTTATATCCGGGGGGAACTTGACAAACATCTCACGGAGGGGGCTTATACCATACCAATTGTTGCGGACAAGGAAGACGTCCGCCGATTTGTAAGCTTGAAGATGGACGAAGACATAGATCCGGAATTGATGAATGGTGATCTGAGAAAGGCTATCATGGAAATGATGTTGGAAAAGTCCTCGGAAATGTCAGTTAGGGCAACCCTGTTTGAAGCTTGGATCTTTCGCTGATATTCTATTGAGGTTTCTGCTCGTTTCCCTAAATATTGATGCTATCTTGGGAGAGACCACGATGTCCCGGAGAAAAAAAATGCTGGGGAAGGTGGCTAAAGCTGGTGTGGGCTTAGACGATGTCTACACTGAAACGCTACAGCGAATTAGGGAACAGAAGGGGGGGCGATCAAGACTCGGGATAGAAGTTCTAATGTGGATATCCCACTCAGAGCGGCCGATGCGGATTGACGAACTCCGCCATGCTTTAGCGGTGGAAATGGGGTCGACGGATCTGGATCCTGGGAATATCCCGTTGGTAACAACAATCCTGGGTTCCTGCCTCGGGCTCGTGATTTTTGAAGAAAAGGCATCGACCGTCCGGTTAAACCACTATACGCTTCAAGAGTACCTCTTGGGCCACGGTATCTTCCCGGGAGCGCACCTAACACTTGCGGAAACCTGTTTGACCTACCTCGACTTCCGGATGGTCCGGAACCTTTCGACCGTGCTTGATGCTGCGCCGCTCGCCATGCCCTTCCTTGAATATGCTTCACTCTACTGGGGGAAGCATACGCGGGGGGAAATTACGGGAACTGTTAGGTCACTTGCACTAAACCTCCTCGGTAAATGCAGTAAACATATATCCAGCAAGCTCCTATTTATGAGTGACAACTTCTCCTCGGAAGACCTTGGTACGAGATATCGCCCCGGGGGGTTCACTGGTATCCACTGCTTGGCCTTCCACGGCACTACCGAGATTGCAATCGCTCTAAAAGCAACGGAGATTTGGGAGATGAACAGCAGCGATTTCACCGGCAGTACACCACTCATCTGGGCCGCTAAAAGAGGACATGCGGAAATGGTGGCGCTACTCTTGGGTCAGGAGAATATTGCGCCCGATTTAGCAGACGAGGGAGGGCAGACGGCACTCTCGTGGGCGGCGGTGCGGGGGCATGTGGGAGTCGTGAAGCAATTGTTGAAGCGGGAAGATGTCGGAGTCAACTCCGTGACCGATGCTGGCCAAACCCCGCTCTTTTTTGCTGCCTCAGAAGGGCACGCAGAAGTGGTGGAGCTTCTACTTGATCGGGAAGATGTTGACCCAAACATCGCAGATGGAATCAGGGAGAGAACACCGATCTCGCTAGCAGCCTCGAGGGGGCATGAGAGAGTGGTGAAGCTATTACTATCCCGAGAGGACACCGAGCCCGATAGGAAAGATAGGAGAGGCCGAACACCACTTTTGTGGGCCGCCTCCAAAGGGCATGAAGAGGTGGTGAAGCTGCTACTGAACCGACAGGATGTCGATCCAAAAGTGAGAGAGAAGGGTGGGTGTACAGCCTCTGCACTGGCAAATTTGAGCGGCTGTGAGGCAGTCATGAACCTGCTCAGGCCATACAATTAGTGGATGGAAGTATCGCCACTACTTTTTCTTTCTTTTCATTGCTATACCCTGGTGTCTTGGACCTGTTCCTTGCCTAGGGCTTTAACCATTTGCCACCCATTGGATTCCCGGGTTCAATTTTCGCTTGAGCCCTATATTGCTTCTGATCTCCACTGCCTCTCTGGACAATTCATGTTTCAACGCCCACCCGTAGGTCTCCGAACCGGCTAAATCTCAGAATATAAGGTTATTTCTGGGCTCCGACTCTGTATCTTTATACTGATTTCTCTGTGGTCCGAGCTCTCAACCGGTTTATGTAGGATGGAAGAAGTAGAGGTATAACTATCGCAGGAAGGTGGCGGAGGGTGTGGAGCATCTCGAAGATGTATATTGCAATAGTGCTCTATAAGTTTAGGAATTTTGTCTTGGCGTGAGGGGATGGAGTAGCTCTGAGTTTGCATGTCTGCCGAGGACTTGGACGTGCTGGTTATTTTGAGGCTTGGGATTAGAGTTGTCTCATGTGCTTATATCAGTTCTTATTTTTTGTTTTTTATTCTTTAGAGTATGTGTGATATAGACGAAGGAGAATACGAGTACTTCTAGGGAGAAAGGACGAGTAGATGGGTAATTATATGATATATCTCTATATAATACTTTCATTGGTTTAGGGGAGGTGGCGGTCCCTGTATTAGGGAAAGTAGTACCTATCATGATGGGGCATGTAAATGTAATAATATTACTCGTTTCAGGGGTATGATATCATCCCATTGGCTTCGTGAGGAGAATAGAAGCAGTGACAGGCTATTCACAACAGTCTCTGTTCCTTTTTAACTTCTTGGTTTGGGGTAACTTGGGGGTAGTCGATTTAGGTGAGAGGATAATATTTACACGACCTGATCGGCTGCCTAGGGAATAACGTATACCCCAAGTTCTGTGTTTCACTTCCTAAGATTTATAGGAAAACGCGCGGTGACTGTCTTCTGTTTATAACGTATTAATAGTTGGCATCCGAGCCTGCATATCAGGTGAAATATGGGGTACAATACAATGGGTATGGTAACTTACTGGAAACGTACCAAATGCCGCAAAGCAAGTCAATATAAAA